TCAAAAAAGTGAGACAAGATTTACCTTTAGCAAACCTATGTTGGTTCACTTTAATTAGATCATGTTAAATTGATTTTACAAGGTTTCTTTTACCATATTCTCCATAACATTCCCCACTACACAGGAACAACTAATTAGCCTATAATTTCTAGTGTCTTCATAATCCACTTTAAAAATAGATGCAACATTAACTATCCAATTTGATGCCATGACAAAAATTAAAGAGAAGCTCTCATCTGATTTTTAGACTTATTTTAAAACTCTGGGGAAAAAATACTGTTTCATCATAGTGCTTTATTTTGAATATCTGTCTTTTAACTTACAATCAATAATTACAGAATTCAGGTTAATTACAGTAATTCCTGAAGAATGGTCAGTCTGGAATATTGTTAACATCCTCCCTTGTAAACAGAAAAAAAAAGGTTAGGAAAGAAACATTCAAAACCTCAGACAGCTCATAAATTTCAACAAAAACATTGCCATCCACACTCTTTAAGAGCCCAATTCCCACTTTAAGATACTGTTTACCCTTAAGATGCTTAAAAAAACAACCTCAATTCTCATAAGCTCCCTTTAATTTCTTAATTTCTTTTTCTAAGCATATTCTTATCTTTCCCTATGGCTCTGTAAGTATTCCATCCTACCTAGCAATTTAAATTTTCCAATTTTTAGGGTCCATAGTTAGCCAATTAGGTTTTATTTTCTGCCTGTTATACTTTTCCTCTTTTTAAGAACATGTCTACTTTGGATAAAAAGCAATTTATTTTTTTAAATGTCCCAAATCTACTTCAGTGGAGACCATCTCTAGCTTACAATTCACCCTTACCTTGAAAATCCCACAGGTTCAACTAGATTACCTGTTGCTCTGAGTATATCCTCGATAATCTTTCCTTTACGTCTTAGACCCTTCTAAGTAGTACATTCTACACACACATCTATTTCTAGCCCTTGACCTTTGAAGGAGTTCTTTATACTTTTCAAGCAGCTTTTCTGATTTATAATATCCAACATAATTTGCTCCTACATGCACTATAAAAACAGAATGCTTCTTTGTACCAGCAGCTGAACTGTCAGAATACTCTATAACATCCTGTACTTTGTAAGTCTAGCCCTAGACTTTATATGCTTCTCAGTTTCCAATATAAATAACTTGATCAGTACACTGTGTAAACCTCTCAATCGTCTCATACCTTACTGTAGGCAGCTAAAGATTCTATTAGTCTGGTAACTAAATGCTACCTTGATCTGCAGCTATAGCCTCAACTTTTTACTATGTACTCTTGTAAATACCAGTACACTCATTCTCACACCTCCTCCAAAGCACCCCTTACCATAACTATTAATTTCCTATCTTATGTCCTCAATTTCTGCTTCTAATATGTTATCTTCAAGTAAGCAAGCTCTTCAAGTAATCTGTATCTTTCTGAGCCTGTTTAAAATCATAGCAGGCTCACAATTGTGGCACCTATCACACCCTCCAAACTCCACCCACTTATCTCTGTACTACTTCTAATCATAATGAAGTTTTAACAGTCTTAGCTCTCTTTCACCAACCAAGTCGCACAGTATTTGTAAAATGAATTAAAATTAAACTGTTTTATGAAATGTAGGTATGTCTAACACTAAAAATCCCTTAGTTCTGATATTATTAATTACTAGGAGTAGTGCAACTATACATGCACACCACATTTAGTTGCACAGAACTAATTGCCAATTCTATATAATCCACTAAAGATTATAGCAGTTGATACTTAGGATCTGCCATGAGTACCAGCACCACTAATGGATACAATTTCAACTCATAATATAATAAGTTCTGTTACCTTACTTAGCTAGCACTAGGGAGTTTTTTCTTTCTAACTTTCAACTCTTTGTATACAAGCTTGGTCATTTTGATCAACCTTGTAACTGCAATGTAACTATGAAACTACACATAACTCTTAATGTACCAAGTTTGCCATCACATAATTTGGCAAGCTTTTAGTAACCACTACAAGTCTGTTGTATATTAAAAATCAGATATTTTAATATTCTCACTAAAGATTTGTATGTGAATTTATGCAGTCTATCCTAAGTCATTCTAATTGGAATTTGATTTTGTTTTCCATCTTCAGTTCTAATGTTTCATTTGAATAATCTGTAAAACCTACTAAATAAACATCAAGTTTTTGTAAAACTTTATAATTTATTTCCAATTTTCTCTATCCAAACACTAACTGTAGTGAAAAAAGTGAAACATAATATTAAAATATATGAAATAAAATAAACACTTTTTTCTTTTTCTATAATAACTTCATTTTTCTAAACATTTCACATATACTTACTTTTAATTTTATTACTTTATAATATCCTTTAGATACTACCTAATAATATGACAGTCAATTTATCACAGTGGGAGAACTTAGTATAAACAACCTACCAAATTAATTATATGATGTAATTAGCTCAAGTTTGTTTGTTTTTCATTTAAATGTTACTATCTGGCCTAGTAAGTTTTAAATTTTTACATTTTAGTAACTTTTGTTAAAAAATGTATAATATATATAAAAAACAAATTCATGACTTACCTAAGCAAATATGCATATCTGTACTCAAGAACATGGTTCAATAAGACTATTTTTTCAAACTACATTGGTTGTCCATAATTCATATTGCTTTTGAATATGCATTTTACAACACAAACAATATATCAGGTACTAGAATAGAACGTCCGAAAGCTATTATAATTTAACTGGTTTGCTAACTAAGCTATAAACAGATTTAAAAAATTCCATTACTTCTCAAATTAGTGACTTTAGACAACACATTTTAAAGTTTTCTGTCGAGTTACTGGCTTTAGGCACCAAAATACACCAGATTTACATTTTTAATAGTTCAGAAACTACTTTTTCTTTTAGTTATAAACATGTCCAATAGCAATGTCAGAAAGAATTATAGACATGTCTTGAAAGATAGAGAATTATTAGGGTGTGTCTTGTGGGTTTGAAGAAAAAAAAACGTTTTCAGTAAAGCAAGAATATTGAATGTTCAAATTTTATATTTTGAGTTGTCAATACCTACAGTAAGTGTATCTAAGTTCTTAGATACTGAAATGCATGCAAGGGTAAAAAGAAAAATTAAAATGGGGAAATCAGAGCATCAGGATACAGAGTTCAAAATTGAGAATTTATTTAAATATTTCTTTTTGAAATTAAAACTTATATGATATAAAAATTTGAACTATAAACTATATTTTCCTGCCACACTTAACATAAACTGATAATAAAGTAATTTATTTAAGTGTTGAATATAACTTTGTAAAAAATGTTGTGACATAAGCACTTTCACTCACCTATATCCAGACAGTTAATAGTATTTCAGTGAAGTACCATAAATTCTTATAATCTACTACCTGCAAACCAAACATTACTACCAGACTTATGTCATACCATTAGGCTTAGTTGTACGTGAAGTAAACTAATTAAAATACATTAACTGATCCAAACTTACTTTTAAGTAGTACCAGAATAATACTTATTTTCTCCATCTAAATGTTATATTATAATGGATTCAAGTATTTATACCCTCTCTGTTACAGATTTAAAAATATTACACCCATTATCAAGCAGCTTCTTCATTATATCTAAACTATGTAACAAAACCATATTTTTCTCACTGTTCAATAACTGTGTTCTATATAGGTTTACAAGCATGTTATATTTCACAGTAGACTTGAGTTATATATTCTACTTTCTTTGATGATTGATAATATTCTGCTAAAATACACAACTTCTATTGCTCCTAAGTGCTAATTATTTTTCTCCACAGGTAGAACAGCAATAAGTTTTAGTAAACTTGCAGTATATTAGTTTCTCATGTTATCCCATGTGAACTATATAACATTAGCTATTATAAATAAGTACGAGGTTCCTCAAGTATAAAGATTTTGTGTATGTGAAATACTTATAAGAACTTCCACAAACTAACTGATAACATATATTTGTAAGAGGTGGTAAGATAAATTAATAACAGGATCAGGGGTGTTAAGAGAGGTCCATAGCATTAATAGTACTTTTTTTGGTATAAGCAAGTTCAGTTTGTTTTCAAGTTTCTTCTTTTTGCCACCTTATTATGTATGTATGTATGTATGTGTATAAAAAGTCTCCCAATCAATAAATATTAAGAACTTTGTCAGTTCTAAGTGTAACTTATACAGTTCTAATTTGATCGTATCTAGAGATTTTCTTTTGTCCTTGACCACTTGGATAAAAATTTTAATTCTAGCTATTTTCAAGATTTTATAATTCTTGGAACTCTCTGCACTTTAGGTTAATGAAACTGGGAAAAATCTTTTCATGACAATATTTGAGATAAAATAAATCTTGAAGTTAACTTAAAATGTATTCTGGTTCAATATAAAAATACTGTAGTTTGAAAATTAACTTTTTAACTAATGATATTTTTTTTTATAACAAATAAGGTAAATGTACTATGTTTTAAAACATTATGTTAGTTGATAACTGTTTTGATATAATTTATTAGAATACATAAAAAAATTACTAAGTCCTATACCAAATCTATGCCAGTTGATCTATAAATAAACTCATAAAATAGTTAAGTTATAAATATAACGTACAAATACCGAAGATGTTCAAATATATTTTTCATTGTCGTTAGGTTACAAAAAAAAAGGAAATGCGAATCAAGTTAAACTAAATACACATTCATCATTCATATTTTATTTAGTAATTATTATTTAATTAAGAATGATCAAAAGTGTAAGCTACTTGTCCATGTAATATATTTACTTCCAACTTCGTGGTCGGGATCCTTTATTATTGTTAAATGCCTATAAGATGTTGATGAATGTCTGGGAAAAAGCTCAATTTCAAGGAGTTGTATAAACTTACAGTTTACGTTTGCTTTTTAGTAATCTAATAGAAATAGCTGTTGTAATTTAATACACTAATACAATCTCCCAAAAGTTTAGCACAAGTGTTCTCATAATTAAGTCATAAACATGAAAAATTGGAATATTTTTATTGACATTTTTGTGTAACACTGTCATACCAATAAATGTTATCACACTGCTGAAATTTGTTTTTTTCCAATCTATGTACAGTGACATGGTAAGTAATAACTAATACATGCAAACACAAAATACACAAAACTATCAAAGTCTGAGCAGAACTACAGACTGATGTGAATGTGAAATCTTCCTGTCAAGATCAATTCAGTAAAATGATACTGTCAAAACCAGAAACTTTTGGCTAACAAAGCTACACATCTAAAATCAATGATTATAAAACTGCTGTTCATTTTATATCAATCAGTCCAAGCCATACTTAGCCATATAGGCATCCAGTTCAGCATCAAGGGCATTTTTTGTGTTAGCCATGTACTCATCTAACTGATTATCAAGTTCTTGTTTGGATGGAAGGTTGTCTTTTTTGTTGGCACCTCTTCCTTGGCCACGTCCAACACCTCTTCCTTGACCACGTCCTCTGTTGCCTCTAAAATTCTGCCCTCTTCCACCACGTCTTCAGAGAGAGACAGCAAATATAAGTAATTGTGTGCATGTTATCTTATATTAACAGACACAGCAAATAACTACACATTTTCTAAATGTAATTAAATTCGACTAGAAGTTGTAATAAGATAAAATAGTAAACAGTAGTGAGCTTTCAATACAGTAATTCACAAATTATCTTCAAAATGGCAAAAAAAATTAAATTATCAACCAAATATGATATACAATAACCCTAACTTTGCCTATTGTTCAAATTGGTTTCTTCAAAGATTTCACTCAGTAAAACTTTCAAATATTTCTTAACCCTTTCTGGACTTTGGGAGAGGAGATAGTGTCACTGATATCCTTTTTTTCCTCCTTCTCACAGTGGAATTACTTAAATTGCATGAGACTTAAACTTAATAAAGAGCTAAGAGAATTCATATCATTTAGTTTAGTTTTCTATCATGTTCTATGTCAAAAAAAATCCAAAATTTTGTTGAGCCATTTTTCTCGAAAAACTTATAAAAATACTTCACGTTCCCTCAACTTAAAACTTTCAATTCTGGTTATCAGAAACATCCATTTTATTTATCAAATTAATTTCACCTTTATTGATTTTAATTAACATATTTCTTTAGATTTTTTTTTTTTTTTTTTTTTACCAAATTGAGAGAGATTTATTTGTGACCAAAGACTTGACCTTTCAAAATGGTGTTAGGTCAGGATAGGTGACTATGGTTGAAATAGATGTATACAAGTTTCTTCTATTTATGCTGTTTGAATAAAATAAAAAACAACATTCAGTAAATAAGGATTTGAATCACCGAAATATTTTGCTCACAGTTTTCTTCCTAAACACTTCTCTCTCTCTCTCTCTCTCTTAATTTTGTTTGTTTGTTTGTTCCTAGTTTCCTTCTCTTCAGCTTCTACCATCTTCTTTTTAAGCTTAACCTTTTCTCTTTTTCTTTTATGCCTGTCTTTTGCAGTATTCTCTTTCTCTATTTTTTGTTTATAGTTGCTATAAGCCATTTTAGCAGATCTGAACAGTTCCCTATAGAGTGAAATTTTATGGGGCTGAAGCTTGTCAAGATTAGAAACTTCACCATGTCTTTGACATTTCTTATAGCATTCAGTTTTCTCCCCAATGACAATTCTGTCTTTTGTGACAATATTTCTTTTAACAGACAAACTTCTTTTTACATCTGCATTTCCATGGTACAATACTAATGCTTTCTTGACAAGGAAGGCAGAAACCTGTATTTAAAATACGGTTGTCAAGTATTTTAAATAAGACTTGCCTTCAGAAATGATCCACCTTTTCCCTGGCTTCTAAATGATCTTCCCTTTGTTACACTTTCCACTCATCTGTAATGTTAGTTATAACATTCTCTTCAAACATTAGTTAACTAGATAAAACTTCTACATCTGTGACAGAACCTTGATCAAATCTTTTTACTGGAGACAATAAAGCTAGTGCTTTGGTCAACTTGTTTTCAAAAGGAAGCCGAGTGATCAGGTACTTTGATAATGCAGTGTATAATGACCATATACCAAGAATTTCTTTGTGCTGGGTCTCTATTTTCATCTTAGAAAGCTCCTGTCTTGCTTCTCCAGAGAAAACATCTTCATCACCTAGCTGGTTTTTAATGCCAATATCTAGATTTTTCAGGTCTTCTGGTGATATGCCATTAACAATGTCTGCTTTTACAAACCATCTCAGAATGGTGCAAACCAACAATGTCATTCATCTGTATAGCAGGTGAATCATAGATTGATCAGTTTGGAACTCTGAGAAAATCTTCAAACAGAGGGATAACAGACAATAGAAAGAACAATTTGACTATATTATCAAAGCTGTTCTTCATTAGTAGTTGTATCAATCCTTTTATAACTTCACAGCATGTGATGTGGACAGAATTATGCAAGTTGTACAACTGGCTTTCATTTTTCAAGATTTAGATGAGTAGAAAATAAATTCTGAGTACTGATGTTTGGATTGCATCAGTTGTAGAATGTTTCGCTGTCAATGTAAAACAAAATTATCATAACTAAATTACAAAATGAGTAAAACTGTATCTTCTTGAATTTTCAGTAGTAGAGAGTTCAGTCACACCTCTTTAGCTGAAATGTTCAATGTTGGACAATTCCATTGAAAGAATCGTGAAGTCTTCCCTGTGTGTTTTGCAGTAGTGGCTTTTTTGTTGAATTGAGAATGCATTTATGGAACTTTTTAATCAACATTTAAAAATACTGAAATTCTAAAATAAAAAGTATTTCTAATACTTTAAAAAAAAGTGTCAACAAAATTTGGATACTTTATAACATTAAAAATGATAGAAAAAGTAAATCCAATGAATTTCTTTAAGCTGAATCTAGCTAATATTTAAGTATTTATTAAGTTGGTTCTAAGTTTCATGCAATTTGGTTAAGTATTTCCACCATCAGAATAAAAAGCAAGGGATATCACTGATACTCTTCCATTTGAAAAGGATTGGGTAAGACAATCTTACTTTATTATTGTGTCTTTTCTACTTTTATGCATCCATTGAGTGCAAAACAAGCCCCTTGCATAGCCCCCCCCATCCAATAGATTTATTTAGATCCAGGATATTAATATCTGAATTAATGCTACTATGAAAAAAGTATATATTTTCAAAATCTCAATGATCTACCACTCTATATTATTTAAAGTCTTTTCAGTAATCTTGCCTACTCCATATGCAGAATCTTCTCAATTAAAGAAAGTATCACCCTTGATCAGAATTTTAATATCAGCAGCAACATTTAAAATTTTCCTATTAATGTGCAAATCAGAATTGTTGACATGCTGCATATAATGAACAACAAAGCTCAAACAACATCCTCTGCTTTCTACTATCAAGCTAATTTTATAAGAACTTTTTAAACTTTGCCATAACATCCATAAAATTTTAACTTCTGAACTAGCCTTTTTAAAAACACTAAATATTGATATAGGTATCTTCTGGGGTTAAATTCTGCACTTCTCAGACGGATGGTCAATACATTAGAGAAGAGAGGAGACCTAAATAGCAAATGTCACAATTCTCATACTAGGGAAGGTTGAGGATTTTAAAAAATATTTCTTTATAAAATCAAGAACTTAAAACTTATATAAGGTTAAAATTTGATTTATTATCTTCATTTTGATGCCAAGTTTATTCATATACATTGACAATAAAGTAGTTTTAGAATGTAACTCTGCAAAAAAGGTTGTGATATGTGCAGAAAAGAGTAACCATATGGAAAGGGTGAAAGATCAACCACTAATAAAGTGGTCACATTATAATGACAAAATTAACTCATTTTTAAGAACTTGATATAACCAATCTATATTCAGTTTAATCATTTAAAAACTAAAAATAATCAAATAATTAAGGTAAACAAATAAACTAAAGATTTATGAGAAATAATTAGCATTAAAGCTTCCCTACCTAAACCGCCTGAAATTCCTTCTCTGCTGATTATACATGCTTCCTCTTCTATATCCTTGTACATTTCGTCCTACAAAATAGGGTTAACCATAACAATTAAACATTATTAATACCTTATACAAGAACAACATAATACAACTGCAGACCAGTTTTGCACCAGGGATATACTGAAATTTATTTATTTGTTTGTTTGTTTTTAAATTTCGCGCAAAGCTCCACTAGAGCTATCTGTGCTAGCCGCCCCTAATTTAGCAGTGTAAGACTAGAGGGAAGGCAGCTAGATATCACCACCCACCGCCAACTCGTGGGCCACTCTTTTACCAACGAATAGTGGGATTGAACGTTACATTATAATGCCCCGATAGCTGAAAAGGCGAGCATGTTAGGTGGAACGGGGATACGAACCCGCGACCCTCAGATTGCGAGTCAAGCGCCTTATCCACCTGGCCATGCCGGGCTGAAATTTATTTAGAAATACACTAACTGGACTAGACTGAATTAATGTATTCGGGTTACCAGAAATTTGAAAGTATTTTTACTTACAAGAGTAAACCTTATGAATATGGCGACTTATTTTGAAAACAATAACATTAAGTCAAACCACTGAAATGCTTTAACCACTATGAAAAAATTTAGTTGTGTATATATGTGTACATGAAGCAGTTTCAATGTGTTTTACCTTATTATCATGGAAGCAGAATCTGATGAAGTATCTTACTCTAACCAGAATATCAGTGACAATGAAAAAAAAACTATCTAGGATGTGCAATTTCCTCTGCTAATACTAATCAAAAGATTGGGCAAAATAAAATTCATAAAACCATTATCTATACATTTCCTACATTTTACAGAGGAAGACTAAATATCTACTAATGAAAATACTGTGATATGTAACCTTAAAATGTGTTTTAAAAATTCTATCATAATTTTATAAAAAAAATAGCTTGAACTACAGACACCCTCTATTTACCCCCCATCTCAATCCACCCATGAATGCATGGTGTACCTCTTGTTTGGAAGCCTCTATTTCCTCTACTTCTGAGGTTGTTCCACTGTGCTCCCCTTTTTGGGCTGTTAGATGTTTGTTGTGTTGGAGTTCTCCACCGTCCTCCAACAGATTGGTTTCCAAGCCGTGCCTTTAGCATTGGAGATGTTCCTAGCTGTCTTCCACCACCTCTTCCAAAGGATTTCCTAACACCTGGTCTATTTGCTGAAACTTTACCACGACCTCCACTGCTCGTACCAAATCTATTCTGAAGCTGAACACTTTTAGTAGCACCGAAACTTAATCTTGCTTTCACATTTGTTCTACCTGGCCCTCCTGATTCTGTCCGTGAACCAAGGCGCTGTTTAAGATTGAGACTTCTCTGTGTGAAAAAGTGTAACGATACATAAAATAACTCTCCAAACTCATTTGTAATAACAAATAAAATTATCTCTTAATAAAGAACTTATTCCAGTGGTATAAATAACAGTGCCATACTCTATATTACAGAATTACTGTGCCTTGTAGCTCCCATTAAACAATTACCTATATAAGTATAAAAATAGAGAGACCAGATTCCATGTATCTAAACAACTTTAAAAAATACTGCAAATTATTATAAACTTATTATCACTAAGTATAAAGGTCCCTTAAACTTAAGATAAGCAACAACGTAAAGGAATGTTTACCAAACAGTTGAAAATATGTTCTTGTTACACAACTAGATGTCTGCAAAAAATTTTTTACAGATGTGTGTAGTGTTTGATAAGCTATATTATATAAATTTAGAAAATTAAGTACTGCTGTTTAACAAAAACCAAATAAATAATAAAACAAGGAATTTAATTGCACAATAAAACCTCATATACAGAAACAAATGTATATGAGATTTCATCTGTACCATCATAAATAATATTGACTTTCAGGTCTATTGTCTGAAAAATACAAGAACTACTTAATACTAAGCCAAAAATATGGTCAGTCAGTCATGTGATCATAGGTTTAAATGAATATCTGGACTGAAAAAGCCAGGAATCATCTATATCATCATGTTTCTCTGCACAAATAAATTACTACAATGGTGAAAAAACAGTCATACTGATTTTTCAAACTTTTCTTTACAAAAATGTTGAGAATTGTCATATTGATTCTCCATATTTTACTTTAGAAACAAGTTCAAAACTTTTCAATTGAAATCAAAATCCAATTACCATTTTATATTAAAAATAAAACTCATAAAAATTGAAGTAAAATCCATAATACAAAATAAATCCATCTGAAAATAAGACTGAACAATGACCTATTAGAAAACTCATTTCTCTAAACATTTTTTCAACACTATTTTGGTGCATATATGTATAGTTGAATTTAAGTTAACATAAACTTTTTTTTTACTTACAATATTCTTATATCATTCACAATTTAATAATTAAGTTAAACTTATGGAAGTTGGAGGAAACAAAAATCCATTGTCTACATCATTTATTTAGAATTAATACCTGTATATGTATATTAGCACATTTGCTATAATTATTGTACTATGATATTTAGTATTCAGAAGAATATAGTTGATTTGGATATGTTTACTTTACACTTTACAGTATAAAAAAGTTTGAAAATGAACAATAATGTTTACATTATATTTACCAAAATTAAAAAACAACACATAAATACATTAAATTTGTCTTTAACAATTTTGCAAGACAATTTAAATGAGCACTGACCTTTTTCAGTTTTAGGGCTGCCATCACACTGGGTCTATTTGCCATCTGTTGAGCCAGACGCATATTTTTTGCAGATGCTTGTCTCTGTTGCTGCACCTTTTGTCTTACAGAGGAAACTGATGTCTGTGTATGTTCTTGATATGCAGTGAATCTTCAAGGGAGAAATGTGGAGGTTGATAATCACTGTTCAAAATGAAGCCCATTTGACTGAGAAGTCAAACTCATAAAAACAAAATACTTGTTCAGCATGTCTCTTGATACCATGAAGTCTTAATAACAAAAAGGAATCCATTTAATGCCATCACATGAGTAAGACAAAAGCAGAGACAGAAACAAATGGCTTTAGAAAGGCAATTTAAAAAAAATTTCTGTATGCCATTTGACTTAAAATATAACTGGCCATAGCCAATTCATATAATGAATACCAGTACAAAACCATATTTTATAAGATAAAATAAATGATGACAATATTTGTTTCATTTGATACTGGTGCTTTGTTTCATAACTTATGATCAAAGCAAGCTACATACATATATTAGAGCTAAAAAATTAACAAACTTAATAATGTAGCTAATTTAATACATCAATTTATTTTGAAAGAAATTTACAAAGCTCATCCTCTAAAATTTTACATAAAGAAAGAGCAAGGTCAAAGGTTTCAAATTATTCTTTTTTTAAAAGCATAATAAAAATAATAAAGACATATGTGTGCCTAAGTAATGTTTATACTTGCAATAATAAAAACTGAGTATCTGTTACATGAAATTGCATAAAGTTTAACAGTATTAGTGTTCATTTAAAATCTATAAGGTCATTTTAATACAAAATTTTTGTCATATATATATATATATACTTATGAAAATAAATGGATTTAGTGCCAAATAAAACTTTTTTTCTAAAGCACTGTCCCACTTTCTCAAGTTCATATTTTTTTGCTTTCTTTTTTGATTTGCTGTTGATTAGTTTCTTTGCCTCTTAATGTTTACCCTACATCTGCCTAATACAACATCAAAAAGGAGCTTTGAGATGAATTCTCAAGGGCACTGCAAAAATGGTTGAGGACTATGTCAGTTTTCACGTACTTATCACTGATCATCAAGGGAGGTGATGATGATGATTACTACTGAAATAAAACTAGAAAAAAAAATCATGCAATAGTAAGCTACATAAAAATAACTTCAAATAAAACCTTTATCTATTCATGACATAATTATTATTCCTTTGCTTAGTGTTAAAATATTTTTCATTTATGGATTTTAGCTATAACACTTGCATGGAATACTCTATAAAGCCGGAGTGTGACAACCGTTTTATTTCTTTGAACTTATTCTGTTAGCTTAAGTCATACGTGAAATTTATAATTTATATCTGCATTAACATCCAAGTGTCTAAATTTGATTTAATAAACATGTTGAAACACAAGAGACTGGAGTTAAATAGCTGTAGTTTGGATTTTACCTATTTGAATATTTATACACAATAAATATAAGTATCTAATTCTTTGAAAATAATGGATATGTCCATATCTGATACTCATCATTCAAAATACAGATGATATCTAGGCTATATAGCATTGCTGGGTGTGGCCAACAGCAGTTTCCTTTACAACATGAGTGAACAAGAAATTTGCTTAGTTGGATTTTTATGCCACAAACATTGCCATTCTTTTAACTTAATGTTGTTCAGAATTAATAATTACACTTACACTAAACTGAACCTTTATATAAAGTGTAACAAAATTACAAGAAAAACTGTATTCATGTGGACTGTTTCCTGACAAATTTATAGACAGCCTTACCAGTTTTTGCTATTTCTGTTGTCATAATAAAATAATTGCAGTTAACTAACTATATGATTAACTGTAAGAAAAAATTTCAAAACATTTTACCTTCTTGCACTTTTCTCAACAAATAAAATCTAACATTTCTGATATTTTTTTTTTTTTTAGCTAGTTGTTAGAATGTGGAAGAGACATGCATACACACCATATCAATTTTTTTTTTCTTTTCAGATTATAAGTCATAAGTAAAAAAATCCATGTTTCTATAGTACCACTTACACTGGTGAATAGTTTGCTTGGAACTTGAGACCTAAAGATTAGAATCAGTCTCAGAACAGTGATGCAACTGAAGGCTTCTCTCTTTCTTAACATAACATCCTCACCAATTAAACAATGCGTTTGTTCAGTACTTGAATCACACATACAGTAATAAATATAAAGGTTTGATGCATCTGTTTCAACATGAAGCAGCATCATATTTATCAGTGTTATTTCGATTTACTTTAGTAACTGGTGTTAAAAACTGAAATATGTCCTCATTCCTAGAGGAGCAGTGAAAATATTACATTAGAGCAATACATTCAATCTGATGCAGAAAGTACTTCAAAAGCTGATATTTATAAGGGTAAGGAAACAGTTCAATTCTAAAAATAGATTTTTTAAAGTATTAAACAGTTTTCTCAGAGACATTAAACTGTTACTCTTTTCAATCAACTAAAAATTAAATTCTGGTGGTCCTCTAAATTTTTGAATCAACAGTATACAATCAATTAGTCTTTCCTCCTCATAGCTAATTTAAAAATTTTCCATATAATAAAATACATATTGATAATTTTGTATTTCTACTTCATGATGTAACTACTGACAAAATTCAATTAAAAAAAGAAGCTATTCTAAACTTTACATCAATTATTTTTGTATTCATATACATATATTCATACTTTGAAGATTACATATAAGAAATGTTACCTACAAGTATTTGTAAAATGTAATATGTTTTATGCAAGTAAATGTAACAGTTCTAATGTTAAGCTGATAGCTTTGTAGCTTATAAAGCTGATCTGGTTCTATTCTCCCGATTCTCTTAAGATTAAGCAAAATTAATACTTGAAACCATTTTTAATTATAACTGGTGAAACCAATGTAATAATAACTGAAATATCTGTGAAATGTACAACTGTCTTTGTTATTTCTTTGTCAATTCTGTTATTAAGCAAAATTATTAACTTATCCTGAAAAACACAGATTACAATTGGATTTAAATTTAGAATTTCCAAATATATAGCTAAACTAGAGATATTTTAATTTCAATTACAGTTTTAGCAACACCATTGATATATATTATTGATCCATTCAGTTTGTTTCACAGGATTTCAAGCACTTTTTTGCCAAATTGTTTTTTCTTCAATTACTTCCAAAGTTCAAGAATTTTGTGACATTTAGGATTTTTTTTCAAACTGCACCAGAAACTTACCTTTTCTTTGCAAACAAATAGCAAGAAATAAACTCAAATACATGACTTATTTTGCTTCTTAACTGTTTTTCATAGTCTATGGTATTTACCATTGCATATTTCATACACATTAAAAGAGCAATATGGAATTAATTTTTGAAGTATGCTAATGACAATCTGAAGATAAGAATTTATTAGAAAAACTGGCTTGAAATATAACCTATGTAATATATAGCTAAAAACCATTGATTAAACACATATTTAAACTGAAACATATAACAAACAAACTCTGATTTGATTTTTAGAATTCAGTGTTTGATAAGAGACAAACAAATTAGGACCCTCCAAAAAAAGGGCTTTTTTAGGACCTAAGATCCCAAAACTATAGTAGCTTGTAGCAATTTATAGACACTTGAAAACCTTGTTTTGCTCTAAGTCAATTTTATGACAACATACAAAAATGTAACTTAGTTTGCAAAATTTTTTTCATACTGAGGAAAAGTAATGAAGATATGTATATTCTTTAAGTTAATTAATGTGTGTCTGAAATTCCAAAATCCAATATTAAAATTCAGACACTACAATTTTCCCAAGTAAAAGTTAACCACTCTAATACAAAATTCCTGGATGAAAACCTATCAGTCCTTGATACAAATTATGCTCCAAAAACAAATCTAGAATATCTAAATATGAAGCAACTTGGACAAGTAAGGAGTTATTCAATAATAAAAACAAAACTTCATAAATTTTCATTCTTATCCTAGTTTAATTTGAAAGAAAACGTAAATTATTTTTAAAAAATTCAATATTTACTATTATGCTGCTGCAAAATATTCACATGCGTACACATAAGAATTGGTCTATAGTTTAAAGAAAAAATCAGAAACCAATGGTAAAACATTTATTACAAAATAAACATTATTTATGAAAGTTTCAAAACATAATCTAACAGCCAAGCACATTGTTGAAGCTAACGTATATTTTTTATTCCACAGTTAATTTATTAGGCAATTTTTTCAAGAACCTGCATTAGAAATGGGGTCACATTTGTCTATAGAGGTTTAGATTAATATGTATGCCTAATACAAATATTTATAAGAATTGTATTTTGTAAAATAATACTTTTTTAACTTATATTATTCTCCTTTTTTTTTTCTAATCTAGTTGTTTTGAAAAGCATTTTATGATCCACTAATTAGCATAACTACTGTTTCAAGCCACTTAAAAAATTTAAAATGGAACAAACACATGGTTTGGTTATCAATGGAAATTATTCCTTTGTCATTTTAGACTCTAAGTCCTTTTTAGTTATTAGACATTAAAGAAATATTAACTGTGAAATAAAGCAACTATTCATTTATGAGAATTATTTGAGAACTACTATAGCTCTTATGGTACTGAACAAACTGCCAAAATAATGTTCATTTTAACATGCACAAGGTAACATAATACCAACTTGGACATAATTAACTTAAAATAATGCAAATATTTCAACATTTCATCACTTCTTTTTTAGTATATTTAAATTTTACAACACCTTTAGCAGTCCCAACACTAGAAACACATCATATATCTCAGTATTCTACAAGTTCAAATTTGGTCATATTAATACATAAAAAATGCTTTTGCTTCTAAATAAAGAATGCATATAAAGGTAGTAAACAAACAACTAAAGCTTTCATCCCAAAATAAGTAATTTTAGAAGAAATTCATCATGTTATTCCACTGACTCCTTGGTCTCTCACCGTTCATTAAGTGTCATTTTCGTTGAGTTCTTCAGAACAATCTTTCCCATATTAGATGCCATGATGCTGAAAACAAGTGTCAAGGAGATCTTTAAAAAAATAGATACATATGTAATAATTATCTTAAATTACTGTATTTAACAAAGATTTATAATGTTCACCTACTAATCCATATTACTTTGATAAGGATTGTGAGACTTCTTTCAAAATGGAAATAGGTGAGGTGCTTAATATTCACATTTTTATGGAGTTTTCCCACCCTTTTTCTTGGTTTTAAGATAATGCTTTGGACTTCCTGCTGAGTACCTAAATTTTACATCAAAACCATGAGGAGAGACAAAGATCATAAAAACATACTACCAACATGTTAGAAAATCAAACAATTAAACTATTCATACTGAAGAAGAAAAGAGTAATGTTGAATTGTTTTTATTATTTCTGTATAAAATTAATTCAGACTTTCTAATACAAGATAATAAAAGTCCAAAACTATTCACTACAATGCTTTAATTATAATTTTCTAAATATTCCTTTTTAAAATTAAAACTGAATATGCACGTGCTATGATAGTTGCCCCTACAGGAGGATTTATGGACAGTCAGACAAACAGTGGCATCTGTCTATGTCAGACAACTAACTGACCAGTATTTGTGGAAATGCTGAGTAGGGCAACATTTGGTGAAGAGTAATCACAACATAATTAGATTTGATGTTTCATTACGTGTTGAGATAAATATGAACAAACTCTTAGTTTCTAATTTTCAAAAAGGCAGTTCTAAGACTATGAACAAGTTTTATCATTAGTAAATTGGGATAATGAGTTAAAAGATGATGTAAGATAGATCTCTAAAAAGATGAAAATAACTGGGATGGTAAAATCTAATTAGCTTAAAACATAAAAAAGAAAAAATATGGGATAAACGTTAAAATGGAATTAGACCCTTAAAAGATGCTAATGGCAAGGCTTTTGTTGAAGATGGCCCAGCTTTGTAATGCTCTCTCCAGTTTTTACAAGAAAAGATATCAGCAATTTTCCTAACCCTGACAATTCTATGAAAAACATTGGAACTAATCTGAATCATGGAGATACTGACCTATTCTAACCAGTGAACACCTTTAAAGATTCAAGAGTACACCTACATATTAAATTTAAAAATTTAAGTAAAAATATAATATTTTACCACAATGTTTTTTAAATAAATTAAGATATTTACTACTTGGCAAATAAATCACTAATACTGAGTAAATACCACCATGCAGTAGCCATTGTTATTTTTAAAATATGCAGTAACCCCACACTGCAAATAAAATAAACTGATAAATAATGAAAACGTTTCACTGTTAACGATGAGGGCAATAATGTCTATCTCTTTCAATACGGTCTGTCAATGTGATGACCTCATATCCATGTTGTGCTTGTTATAGTTTTCATGCTATAACTTTTAGATTAGTAAGTGAACATTAACGAAATTTGGCAAATTATCAGTAAACACTACAATGCTTTCATATGCAAAATATCTCATTTTTGTATTAATTTGTAAGGTTTGTAAAGCAATGTTTCTCTCATGCCTTTTTTTCTTTTCACATCTTGCCTATCTATCATGCAAAGTAATTTTTATTT